AAGAAAGACGAGAACTCCATGCCACGTGAAAACGTGACCAAATGTCTATCATTTTAGCGGACGTCTCGGGAAAAACGGTAGATGTAATCGATAGAAGGTAACTTTCATGGGTGCAAAAATTCACGTCCGTGGGTTGTGATTGGTAGATTCCGATCCATTCCCACCGTATGTCAACACGAGAATATACAGAGACAAGACCCTCGCATCAGCATCAGGAAAATGTACTGTTCAAGTAAAAATTGATGACCAATGGCTTCTATTTACCGCCGATTATGCGCAATTACTTCACGTATCTAGGGAGATCATTGCTATCGGTCTAATCCGCGAATTAATAAAGTCTGCAACTGCATTCCCGAGCCTTCCAACGCATATTCACATAACGCAATTGTGGTGAAGATGAAAAACACGAACGGCGGCGAACAAGATGCAACTACAGTTGGACACGTGCCTGATAGTCTAGCGGAGGTCCTGTACAAGCCATTGCTGGAAAAGGAAATCAAGATGACCTGCTGTGTATCTGGCCAAAGCAGGAGTGCGCCTGAAGGTGTATGGGTTCAAATAGGAGGCATCGAGATTCCTTGCGTTTATGAAATTGGCGTCAAGAAAGGACTTAGAAGTCTAAGAAAAGAACTGAGAGACAAACTAATACAACTCGTCCCGACCACTGACAATACAATCTGGGGAGACATCCGGAGCCCACCCATGTCGCATTTAAAACATGAAACTGGATAGACGAATTTTGTCTCATTTGTTTACTGGCGTTGATATTGATTTATTTTATTTCCGTATTGCTGTATTTATCATTGTTACCTTTTTTATGAAGCACAATCTATACATACGGATTGCAAATAAAATGTTGTTCTTTTTTAATTTTATGTTGTTCATTTGTTATTTCGGAAAAAAAAGCTCGCACCAGCTCTATTTGTAAACGAGTTTTGTTCCCCGAAAGTAACGACCCCATGAAAGTAGCGACCCCCAAAGGCTGCTAATTCCGAAAGTAACGGGGATCGCTACTATCGGAACTCTACCATTTTTTCAAATAAAGTTTCTGCCTATGTGGCAATTTGTCTCCATGGGATCACAATTTAGCCCAAGCTTCCGCTGTATTGGCCGCCAGACTTCGCAAATCTTCATAACTGTATATTTATCACAGGCAAATAAGTTTGAAATTTTTATTAATTACGTTTTAGCATGTCCTTTGCTATTGTGCTTTGAAAGAATTTCGCTAACTTATGGGATTACTTTGAAGCAATTAGTTTTTGGATGGAATGTTGTTGCAGACCTGAAAGCGAAGGAGATAATCCAGCTTTGAGTAGTTTTTTCGTAACAGGTGAAACAAGTCCATCAACTCTCCAGAAAATACACAGTTCCTATATTTGGGACTTTCTCTATGCTTATTTCTGGCTAACTAAAATTGCTGCAAACGCAAAACTGACGACACTGAAGTGGATAGTTTAAGTATATGCAAAAACAGTGACATAATGTAGCAGAAAAAAATAATTTTAATTAATTTATTCCTGCAACGCGAGGGAGCGCAAAACTTGCGAGTTGCTCGGAGATAAATAGCAAAGGATATTGGTAGCGCGCCTTTAACGCCATCCACTGTTTTAGTATACTGTGTA